TCCAGCTCGTTGTTCTGTTCTGCTTGCTGTAGAGACATGTCGAACTTCGGTGTCAAAAAGGCGAGGAATTGGTTTAGCAGATAGATTCCCAGTCCATAGCATACGACGTACCAGCCTTCAGAGAAGACTACACGAAGGATGAACAGCAGTACCAACACAATGAGACTCGACCACCTGTACCTTACATGTGGAGTCGTTTGATCCAAATAGTACTGGTACAAGGTTTTGTACTTGTTAAAGTAGAAAGTGGCCTTGTTGTTCGAAGTAGTCGTTTCTTCCTCTCCGAAATTCATAGTATAGCGACTCACTGTGGATAGGCCTTGACTCTGCAGATTGTTAACTTTCTACAAGTCTTTGTTCATCGTGAAGTGGCAAAGTTTTATTTACCCGACTTTTCTCCCAGCAATATGGGATCCCAAATTCTGAAAATCAATGGCTGCGCCAGGAGTGGGAAGGCATACTTAGAAGAGTCTGCCGGGTAGACAAAAAAAGGATGTATGACACCCAGATGGGCGGGTTACAGATGATATCTTAACATCCCTCATAGTTGGTTCTACTCAAATTCTGGTAGTAGCACACAGTACTGAGCTAAGTGATAGAATGTAGATCGTGTTCAAGCTGACCAGTACTCCATTAAACGCAGCTAGGCTTATTTACAAGAGATAATACTATGTACGAATTTACAGCTTCTTGCCAAGGATCTCGGCGGCAGCTCTTACTCCGTGCTTGACATATCTTTGGGGATCGTTTGCAAAGTCATCTAGTGTGACCTTTTTGGTGTGACTCAGTATATTGTTAAGTTCCGCGCCCATCGCGTCACGCAGTCTATCGTCAGTCGTCAGCACGATAGCATTGGTCTCCAGGTCAGACGAGTACGCCCTTCGTGTATAATTTGAAGAACCTACTACTGTAACAACTGGCATGCTGTCTTTCTCACAGCCGTCAGATATCCAGATGCCCTTTGCATGATATGACCACCCACCTGGTTGATTGACCACGCCTCTCTGCCACTCATATAAGGAAATTTTATCCGATTTACCAGCAGTATGAACGGATTTTAGGAACTTTTGTGCTAAATACAAGTAAGCATCAGGAAGATACTTGGAAATTCCCTTGGATTGATAAAAACCATTCGCTGTAGGTGCTGCGGTGATGATCTTGCCTACATGTGAAGGAGAATCCAATAAGTGCTTCTTAATATCTGGTAAGATGTTAAAATATCCAGCTGTGAAAGCCCAGCTGGTTTCTGGAGAATGTATGGATGATAGCAGACGTAAAATGCTTGGCTTCTCAGTTGAGAAATCATTATTCTTCTTGAATAAAGGTGTGAACTGGGAGATCGGATATACAATGGTGGGGTAGTCCTTCATAACTTGGATGCCCTCCACACCGTTCTTATGTGGAGTTGTCAGAAAGTTGGAAAGTACCTCCGATGCTTGAGCAACGAATTTATGCTTATCTATCCTTGGCTCTACGGTAATATTATCCTTTGGCCAATAAAGCATATAACTCTGCTTCGTATTGGAATATTTCGCTTGGTAACTCATCTTGCTAATCAAATTATGCATTTTGAAGTAGTAGTCGGCGAAGTGTCTTGACTTAAAAAGATAATATCTATCTTGTCTGTTAGTGAAATAATCATGCGACAAATTGGCACCTGAGAGGATAACTTCGTCATCAAACCCATATATCTTCATATGCTGCAAGCCTATACCCTCGTTGAATCTCCTAGGAAATAAAGCCCGCTTCCACCCTGTGTATTCTGGAGTCATATATAGACGAAGGTCGACCCTCTCCCCATGGTCCTTGGTAAGTTTCGCTAATAGAGAAGCAGAACATGCATTGGGAGTTTCCCGCGTCCCCCGAAGTCCATCCACAAGCAAGGAAATCCGTAGATGAGGCTTGGCTTTCAAAGCCTCATCGAGACATGCTATTACTTCATGTTCAGTTTTCCCTAAATAGAGGGATGCAAGGAAGATACGATCGTTCGCAGCAGCAATTTTCTGCTTCAAAGTGTCATAGAATTCCACTGGATGCTGCAATACTTCAATTTCACCCGCTTTAAAGTAAAACATAGTTTGTAAGGAAGATAAACTTCCTTTCACCGCATCAACAAACCGGTCTAGACCATGCATAGCAGTTAGATTGGTTGAAAGAGTTCGCTGGAGGACTTTCAGCGACCTATTGTATTTGGTATATGTCCTCATGGGGTACAGCAGCGTAACTATCCACTATCAAGCTACTTGCAAGAGTTCTCTTTTCAATGTATCCAAAAGCTCCAGTATTCTTCATCACCTGACCTTTTACCGCAGTTTGTAGACCTAAAGTGAGAGATCACCTTCATCTAAAAGCTCGCGTGGCGTAATGGCAACGCGTCTGACTTCTAATCAGAAGATTGTGGGTTCGACCCCCACCGTGAGTGTTCTTTTTTTCTTCATTAAAACAAGAATAATACTAAGCCGAATTGAACAAAATAGCAGTATATGTTTTAGGAGGATACTTACTTTATTCGTTGAAATGCCATCCAGATACGAATGGCCCATTTTACATTATCATCATTGCCTCTCACGCAGATTGTATATTAGTGGGGTACTTTACGAAGTAAAAAATGCAAATTAGTTTCCAATTTGGTTCCAGACCAAAGCTATGCAAGAAAACGGTTCTCCGAAAACTTATAAGCCTCCAAAAAGGTTAATGCCGGTGATGCAACTCTGAGAAATCAAATTTATCATAGCGCTGCGTAGTATGAGCAATCTTCTGCCTAGAAGAATTTTTCAAGTTATATTTTAACTCGTCCACATCTGTTCTTACAGTGCCGCTATCAGGTACCGAATCCCAGAGGTTGCTAATAGCAGAAAGTGTCGAAGTGCCTGAATCTTCTTCATCTTGAATACTTACTGGGGTCATGTTACCATAATCATCAAATTCGACTTTTTCTGACTCCTCCCTTATGTCCTTACTGTTAGATTGTGGCTCTCTCAGGCCTTTGCCGTTAGACTGGCTGTACTGAACGTATTCATGTTCATAAGTATCCAGTAAATCAGTAAAGAGATCGCCACTTTCGTCAACGAGCACGCCACTTGATAGAATAGGTATGCTGCGAAGGCCGGCGTCGATAATATTCGAAAAGAGTTCTCTCACAGAGGCAACCCACTCGGTTGTCCTGTCCACGTAAGTGGGTAAAATAGTAACATAAAGGGCCGGAATTCTAAGCATTCGATGAATACTCCCTAGAACGACTCCAGTTGTTATACCTAGAAATGAGCCAACAACAGCAGTCGCTACCACATACTGGACACAAACCTTTGCGATGGTCAGCGCTCCTCGGAAATCTGTCCCAACCGCTAGTTCTTGTACCGAAGTCCGAAGGAATATCTTCAATAGTAAGTTAGCTGGGAATAGTGCCAACGTCCAAATCGCCCTTTGTAACGCCATCATGGGCTGCCAGAAGAACAAGTTCACCGTCATATAGATTGGTTGCAAGAAGATCGAGTGAACAAGCCATATTACCATTGTCACCGGTTTGAACCTTTCATGGATTGTCCAACCAACTGAACCTGTGATGGCGGACACATGGGATAAAGGGCTTGTGGCATCATTACTCATAGCTCTTCTTATTAGCTGCTGATACCAGTTTCTCCGAGACTCCAGCTTACCCATAGATATTAGTACCCATAGAAGATCAAGGAGTTAGAACCTTAAGGCTAACTCTCCTGAATACGAAACCCTAAAATACGAGTGTACAATATGATGGCTGCTGCAAAATTACCCGGACAAGAAATATGTATATAAACGTTTTGCAAAAAATTTCTTGGCTCGAACTTTTCTCGAGGTACGACACTGCAATAGAGCTAGAAGGCCACAAGAGTAACTTGCTAGATCGCATAAGTGTATGCATCCTGGCAAGAGGCTCTATCTAAATGCCACTCCTATTTCTGCCCCATATTCTTATTGCTCCATAGATTAATGGGTTCTAGTAATGGAGAAGAAAAAGCCGTGGAATGGCTTTCCGCACTTTGATACTTCGCGGTTTAGCTTCATTCCGCGGATCGTGTGTAGTGGCGGGTTATCCGGCTGCAGCATTCTATCTGCAGTCGGGCTGTCGTTACTCTATATTTCCGGTTGCTGCATTCGACGGCGATAGGCTAATGAAGCCACGTAATTGGCCAGTAGTATCAGCCATTAGTGGACAAGCTGCTGAACTTCCTATCTAATCTCAGCAAGCGGTCCTTCGCAGGTCCGCGGGTGCTTTACCAGAAGGAATTCTTGATTGATCTCTTGTATTTGTCTGCATGCATTGATCGTACATTCTCCCAAGTCATCGCGGAAACTCCGGTGGTACCCCCGATGCTAGCTTTTCGATGGCAGGTGGTTCGCGACTCACCTGCACTTCACGAAGCGTCGGGCTCCAGCACTTGTATTTGAATCCACACGCTTCTTTGAGGTGCATAGGTATCTATTTAGCCCAGAAAAATCAGCCAAGAATACCAGAGCTGCAGATATTCCGCCTTGGCTGGGGATATTTCACTGTATATGGTAACTGCGCTGGTTACATTCATGTGCGTAGAATCGCATCTTGTTTTGTATCCCAGTCCTATAAGTATACTTGCATATTTAAGGCCCTATGTTAGAAATGTAGCAATTGTTTATCCAGGCCAATCCGAACTAGCATTTTTGTTAGCAGCTACCAATCGTGCTAGAACTAGTAACAAATTTATATGATGGATTAATCTACGCAACAACTGTTAATATTATATTAATCTCAATAGCATCATATATTGGACTTGATGGGACGGACACATGTATAGGACTAATGCATTATAATTTTCCCTTATGGCCATAAATATATCTTGTAAATCCTACCAACAACCAGCACAGTCTCCCATACTGGCCCTGATTATGTGGGTAACTGTCTTAGCATATCTGGAAGTACATATACAGTTACAGTACGACAGTATATAGATTATGAACGTTGGATGCCGAGCAAGAAGCACGAACTTCCGCGATAGTTTAATGGTTAGAATTCGCGCTTGTCGCGCGCGGGATCGGGGTTCAATTCCCCGTCGCGGAGCTTTTTTTTGTCAAGGCATCTCGGCATGTCCCTGCTGTGACCTCCAGGTATAAGAGAAGTAACACCAGCCCAAATTCATCAGCAATCACAGTGCGTTATATATGATGTAGGAGCTTATCCACATGGCTAAAATGAAATCCACAGTCTAAATCATGGCATTAGATACGTTGCTATCATTCGGCAAATTCTGGGCGCAGGTCAGACCTGCGAGGCACCACTAGCGGGTGTAGTTGCGATAAGTATGTTACCGCCCACATTAGGAACATCATAGACATAGAAAGGATAATAGTACTCCGCCAAACAGTTTGATTCTCCTTTGGAGCTAGTACCCAAAATACTGCGGACGCTAGGGCCACCGATAAAAACGTTGCAACTACTGTATAACTGGTACTTCAGCGTTAGTAGGTTAAGGGGAACGGAGGGGAGAGAGACCATTGGCGAACATCCCTATAGTAGTCGGTACATACAAACTCATACTTGTAACAACCCCAGTTACTCTAGCGGTAATGCTCAATAATCAGTTGCTTTGGTTTTCAAGAGATATAGTGAGTGGTGGAGAGGATTTTTACATGAGAGGGGGCCTTTTCTTTGTCTCGGTTTTGAAAAGTCGCTCCTGCTCCAGTCATATATATACTGTGTATCATCACTGTAGATCGTTAGCCTGCAATGGAAAGTGCTACAGCATCAGTGGATGTGCCACAGCCAGTACTAGATTGGCTGTTTAAAGTGCTACAACATGTATGTACCTTGCCTAACAGCAATATGGCGCGAGCATTGATTAACCCACAGGACAGGATTATTATGACCCTCGAACTACTTTCCACGATGTGGTAATTGCATTAGCTACCTATAAGAAACTGCGTGTTCGGACAAGAGTGTTTACTGACAAGGCGGGTTTGTCAAAGTTACTACTCTGCCTCTACGGCAAGGTGGGAAATGTGGATGTTCTTGTCTGGATACCATTTGAGTACCCAAAGGCGGCACCATACGCTTATATTGATCTTGAGGCCACGAAAGGGAGATCTATAATAGTGAATGAGCGTTTGGATGGGGATGGACTATTTTACCTTCCTATATTAGGCCGTTGGAACCCCCGAAATTGCGATGTGGTGAAGTTGGTACAGGATCTGGAACAGGCAATTGCCGCGCAGTACCCATTAAGACCAGCGGTAGGAGCTGGACATGGTCCCCCTGTCCAGGATATGGCGCCTGGCCAGACTATTTCAACGCTGCCGGTTCTTCCTCCTAAGCCATATATACAGAAAAAGGAAACACACGAGATGAACCGTGCTATAGAAGCCAGTGTTGCTGGAACACCATCATTGCCACCAAAACCTCCTAAAGTTCCAGCTATTGCGGATGTACAAGATAAGAGCGATGAATCATTGAGGGAGTTGGATAGTGAATTGAGTCATCTGCAACTCCAGAACGAACCTCTGCCCCCCAAACCGCATACCATGCCGCCGCCATCAGCTGCATCGGTTCCGGCAAGTCATACCCAGCCCGATTGGCTGGATGCCGATTTTACGCAGTGCGATGAACCGACCCACCGTGATTCGCTGGCTCTCTTACAGGATACTCTGAACCAGCTTGCTAAGCGGATAAACGCACGCTACCATACTGAATGGGCCACGAAAACAAAGTCCATTAAAGAAGCGCTCGACAGTTTCCGGCATATTTACTCCTACGAGGCTGATAACATAAGACATGTGGAAGACGCTATTGTAGAGAACTCTGAAGTATTGCAGAACGAAATCGATAAGCTCAACGGTGAACTTGAAAAGGCACAAAAATACGAGGAGAAGTACCCTAATGGCGGAGTGCCCGATATGAATGCCTGTGTCACCGCGGAAACTATTGCATTGAATCAGTTATACATGCTAGTAGCCAGAGATTACGCATTATCTGATTCAATACAAATTCTCTCCGTCATGCTGAACCAGGGCCTGATAACTGTAGATCCGTTTATCAAAAAAACCCGGTCGCTGGCAGCTGAACAATTTCTCGCAAGGTTTCACATAGATAAAATACTACAGTTACTCGACAATTGATACTGGCACTACCTCTGTAAAGCAGAACCAGCGTCAAAATGTTACCCTGCTCTTCGTTTCTTTTTGAGGGGTGATGGAAAAATTTTCAACATCGGGCCTCATCTCATCTCTCTGAACTAGTACAATTCAGAGGTGAGCTTGTCTTGCTTAAGATATTGGTATATCGGCAGTCTAAGTACCATCATTAGCGATGTCTGAGGAGCATATGATCAAACCAGAAAATGTGGCCCCAAGTGCAGACACTAGCGAATGGCCACTATTGTTGAAGAATTACGACAAGCTTTTAGTGAGAAGCGGACACTACACGCCTATTCCTGCCGGTGCTTCTCCGCTAAAGAGAGACTTGAAGTCATATGTCAGCTCCGGTGTCATCAACCTTGACAAACCATCTAATCCTTCTTCGCACGAGGTCGTTGCGTGGATTAAGCGTATTTTGCGTTGCGAGAAAACCGGTCACTCTGGGACTTTGGACCCTAAGGTCACTGGCTGTTTGATCGTTTGTATCGACAGAGCAACTAGATTGGTGAAGTCTCAGCAGGGTGCTGGTAAAGAGTATGTCTGCATTGTCAGATTGCATGATGCCCTAAAAGATGAAAAGGATCTTGGCAGAGAATTGGAGAACTTGACTGGTGCTCTTTTCCAGAGACCACCATTGATTTCTGCTGTCAAGCGTCAACTTCGTGTCCGTACTATCTACGACTCCAAGCTGATCGAGTTTGACAACAAGCGTAACTTGGGTGTGTTCTGGGCTTCCTGTGAGGCCGGAACTTATATGAGAACGCTATGTGTCCACTTGGGAATGCTGCTAGGTGTCGGTGGACACATGCAGGAATTGCGTCGTGTCAGATCTGGTGCTCTAGCCGAAGGCGACAATATGGTTACTTTGCATGATGTTCTAGATGCTCAATGGGTGTACGATAACACCAGGGATGAGTCCTATTTGAGAAAAATTATCCAGCCTTTGGAAACCTTGCTTGTGGGTTACAAGAGAATCGTTGTGAAGGATTCCGCTGTTAATGCCGTTTGTTACGGTGCCAAACTGATGATTCCTGGTTTGCTACGCTACGAGGAAGGGATTGAGCTATATGATGAAGTTGTATTAATCACAACAAAGGGTGAAGCTATCGCGGTTGCCATTGCCCAGATGTCTACTGTTGATTTAGCCACCTGCGACCATGGTGTTGTTGCCAAGGTCAAGAGGTGCATCATGGAAAGAGATTTGTACCCAAGAAGATGGGGTCTCGGTCCTGTGGCTCAGAAAAAGAAGCAGTTGAAGGCTGATGGCAAGTTGGATAAGTACGGTCGCGTGAATGAAAACACTCCAGAGGACTGGAAGAAGTCCTACGTGTCCCACGAGCCCTCTGCTGATGCCGCTGCCGAGGTTGCTCCAGTAAAAAGCGAGCCTCTAATCGAGGAGGTTAACAAGAAGGATGCAAAGACCGAGGTGGAGGTTCCAGCTGAGGAGAAGAAGCAAGACGACGAGGAGAAGAAGGAGAAGAAGGAGAAGAAGGAGAAGAAGGAGAAGAAGGAGAAGAAGGAGAAGAGCGAGAAGAAGGAGAAGAAGGAGAAGAAGAGAAAGGCGGATGACGAGGATGCCTCCGAGGAAAAGAAGAAGAAAAAGTCTAAGAAATGAATCAAGACCACTGCATCGTACTCTGGTGCTGGTGTGACCCTTATGCATCTGCATGGCAGCGAACATAAATAGCTTTGGGGGTTTCTACTCAACTCTGTATATTGATTGTACTTTACCGCTCTTTTCTTATATAATCTAAGGAACGTAACATTTTGTAAGGATGTTAGGGCGGAACTTAGTAGATACTATACATGAACTTATTATATATTCTTGACGTTCTATAACGCGCAGTAAGTACATCAATGGTCTATGGTGTTTGTATGCAAGTATTGGGTAGTTTATCGGCTAGAGGTGTGTTCATCTGAACAGGGATGGCGGTAATGCCTACTCTCATGTGCACTGGTGTCGTTATTACTCCAGCAGGACAGTTCCAACTCAGTTGGACTAAGCAGAACACATTACTCTATAATACAACGCCTTTTGGTAGCGTCGTAGACGCTAGATATCCAGAGCTTTTCAAGCTCAGAAGTTTTCTGCGATGGCCCGCCTCTGCTGTTCGGTCAAAGTGATTGGATAGTCGGTCTTGTACTTGACCACTAAATCTCCTCTCTCAGCAGGGTTCTTCGAAAGTGGCATACCCTGCCCAGGATATCTGGTTTCCTCTGAAGGCTGCACCGGCTGAGTTTTGTGAATGGAAATCTGCCGTCCGTCAATGGTTCGCACGGTTTTGTCAAATCCAAGGAGGGACTCCTTGAAAGTCAATGGCAGAGTATAGATTAAGTCGTTTCCATCTCTCTTGAAGTACTCATGGGGCTTTTCCTGTATGATAAACTGGATCGTCTGCCTTCCACCGGTGGAAGGATTGTAGTCACCCTCGTTTTTGTACGTAATCTTTGTTCCTGCCTTCCAGCCGGGTCGCAACTGAATGTCAATCTGCTTCTTCTCCGGCAGACCTGTCTGGCCTTTTCTAGTAATCTTGAAAGACTTGCGTTTGCCGACAAATAAGTCTTCTAAGCTAACCGGTAGGTTGACCTGTACCACCTTCTCTTCGGGTTGGCTATGAGAATGCATTCCGGAGCTCCCGGGCATACCGCCGAAGCCACCCGGCATTCCTCCGGAAGAGGTATGGAAGCTAGCGCCTCCTGGGAAGCCGCCAAAGCCAAAATCATCTGCACCGGCAGACGAAAAACCGAAAGGCGACGAGGCGCCCCCCCCTGCGCTGTTGCCGAAGAACTGCGAGAAGATGTTAAACGCATCCTCCTGAGAGAAGGCGTGTCTTCCACCGCCTCCAGTGCTGAAGCCACTAAAGCCTGGGCCTCCTCCGCCTGGCCCACCTCCGCCAAATCCAGATGGCGCGTTCCCCCTGGCGGCTTCCAA